ACACACACACACACACACACACACACACACACAGACACAGAGACACGCTCACACTCTCTCTTTTCTCCCCTTTTCTCTCTTTAGGTAGTAGGAGCTAGAGATTGATTTTAATCCTGTGGGAGCGAGCTGTACCTGTGCCACAGAGTGTGCCATAGTGTGGTGGTTTCAGTGCCGTCTCCTGAAATATAGAGAGACAGACAGATATAGGGAGATTGTAGTTACAATATCATCGAGCTCTGAGCAGCCTAAGCCTCAGTCTTATCAGTGCGAGGCTACCCTGAACACTGAATAAGAAAAATCTCTGAAGAGAGTGTAGAAGATAAAAAAAAGGAAAAAGCATTCTTCAAGGCACGGCTGGCAATCACGTCATTATCTTGTCAGGTCTCCTTGAAGAATGCTACAGGTGTCACATGTTTGTGCATTTTTCCTGTACTTATCAGAGCATGCAATCTTTTCCAATTATCACTCCCAATTTGTTGTTTGTCTCCCACCACACTAGTGCAACACTCTTTGTTTTCCCTCCAAAAGCCATTTGGATCAATTTAGGCCCACGCTTTCTTTCGAACCCTTGCCAGTGGGTCCTCTGATATGTACAGAATATCATATTTTGCTGTTCCTCAGAAAGTTTGCAACACATCTGCCCGTATCTGCATCAGGAATAATCTGAACTAGTAGCGCGTACATCAGCAAGGCACAGTGATAACAGATGCAATGACTCAACAGAAAAAGAAAAGAAGAAAATAATAAGAAAATAAAACCAAATAAGAAACAATGACAATAAAATAAAGTTGCTGGATTTAATACTGGCATAAGATTTGATTAACAAGCCCGGTTAGCCTTTTAAAATCATTGCTTCTCCCCCCTCGCTATGTACCCACTTTGAGTCAGCACAAGCCCTTTGTCATCAGACCATGGGTGGCGAGTGTGAAAGGTCTGAGCCTTCAACCACACAAATAAATGACGATATGCAAAAACGTTGTTCATAGCTAAGCCTAGTAATCCAACGCATATTTTATAAAGATAATACCATAAATTGCATCATAAATAAGGTTAAAGAACAACACACATGGTCTTGCAGGTATTTAATCAAACTGTAACTGTATGCCTATGTGATATTACAAAACCACAAACAGCAGTTTCCCCACTGCTGAATCATCGGCGGTTAGCTTCGTTAAGCAGCGACCCTTCGTGCTCCGTGGCTCCAGAATTATGGGCCAAACAAAAGAATGTATTAGCCTTTTCCAGCCTTGCATATTCATGGTGATGTCTGAGATCACTCAAGCAAGGTGATACTCGTTTGATCTGCCTCTGCTAAAACACACACTCACAAGAGCTCCTCATCACTGGAGGCAGATTATATGTTATATCTTACATCACGGGGTGGGGGTTAAAGGAAAATGATGAGATGCGTAAAAAAAAAAACTGAGAAGAGATGGGAGTGGAGCGAGGAGGTTCGCATGTGCAAATATGGCTCTCGCTGTATAATGAAGCCATATGGTGGCACAAATCTGTAGTCTCTGAAGTATTTTTACAAGCTTTACTCTTTATCAGCTACATCTGTAGAGTCCCTGAAAACATTTTCCGTGACCTTCAGCCATAATCATCTCCACCTGTGCGGCCCTCCCCATTTAAATTCCATTGCGGGCTTTTTGTCATTTTTCTTCATTTTTTAAAATGCTTTACTTATATGGGAGGGTGTGGGGCAATGACAGATCACTGCAAAGGCACTAAAGCACTGTCTGTCACTTTGATGCACAAAAAAGAAAACATGGCACCTAGCTAAGATCTTTGCCTCTGGACTCACGGTATTAGGTTTGGGCTCAAGAGAGACTGATTCGCTGGCACTGACAAGACTAAATGCAGCTTTTGTTTTAACAGCCACACTTGAGGTGATCTGAACAAATTCTGGAGTGCTATAATATTTTCCTACCTTGTCAGATAAAAGCAACAATCAATTGTTGTTCTTTAGACTTTGAAAATAGTCTTTCTTCAAAAAGGCTTAAAGATGAAATCAGGAAAAGCAAAAAAAAAAAAAAAGACTGTTGGTCAACTATTGTCACATCAGTTTGGATCCTGAAAACTCGACTAACCCAAGGATACTGCGTGACATCACCGATAATCTTAAAGGACAGCTGCCTTTTTTCTCCTTCCTTATCAGCTTCATTCGAAACCTAATTACAGTGATTTTAATCATACTGTAGTACGAGTGATTAACCCTTTAGTGAATTTAATTAACCTTTGCAGCCACCAACTCTCACCAGGCAAAGCTTCATGCTATTTTTTTCCATGACACATGCTTTAAATAAGCACACTTAAAACTAGTGGGAAATCTAATGTCTAAAGTGGGAGGCATCACTTGTCAGTTGCTCGAGGGGACAGAAAATTTTTGATGTATTATCATCTCACTGAAGATATGGTTAGTGAGTAGAACCAATGAGGACAGATCTTTCTTGATAATGCTGCAAGTGTGTGACACAAAACTACGAGACGATTATGAATGTTAAACCTGAACTCTCTCTCCGAACAATGAAAAAATATACGTAAAATACGATCAGACAAACATAGCCTGATGTTTACTAATCATTTATTCATTGATTTTAAATTCTTCGCTCAAAAATACTCCACTCAGATTAGCAACATAAGCGAAAATCAATTTGAATCCGTGATGCATAAAATTTATGACAGATAATAATTCAGAATCGTAGAGCACAGACTGAATATTTCTGCATATTCCAGGGCAGTCACAACCAGTGCGAGGGGAAAATCATTCTGACAAGTCGTCAGTGTGTCGTACAAACACATTATGAATTAAATCTTTGGTACCAAAGACATGTAGTAGGCTTATGCATAAAGTACCATGGCAGAGCATAGCTTTTAACCAGGGTTTCAAATAAAAGGTGGATGAAGGGGATGACTATCAACTCTGTGTGGGTGTCTTCATAAATTATCCACAAGCACAATAATACACGGGATCAACAGTCATTTACGAAACTGTGCCATGAAGAATTTCTTGCTAGATGTCACACAGAAGCGCAGTGGGAGCAAAGAGGCAGAAATGAAGCAAAGATCTGAAAGCTGTGTGCAATTTGAGGCTAGACGCAAACAAAAGCAAGTACCTCATCAAACAAGATCAATTATTGATGCAATATCATGAAATTGACCCAGAATCGGATGAATGGCAGTTGTGATAATTAGGATCAAAAGAGTAACAAAAATGAAAGCCAGTGCAACCAAGCAACAACAAAAAGTCCCCAAAATAATAAAAGAAACAAAATGGAGAAAAAAAAGAAAATTGTTGCAAAATCAACTGAATGTTTGACACTGAGTGAAAACTATGTTAGGACACATATCAGTGTGAATAAATTGCAATTGTGTGCACTGATTAGTCAGCCATGATTAAATCCATTGTTCTGGTGAACGCAGATCAAATATCAACATGTACGTACTCTGTCATGCACTAGGGATACAATTATTGCAATCCTCTACGTCCTCTCTAACACAAACTGCAAAACACCAAGGATGCAAACCCATGTTGTGATGTCATTGCACCCTCTCCTATGTGAGCTAATTCACAGAATAAAAGAATGTGTATCTACGTGTGTCGTTTATAACAATAATTGGAGTCATTAAAGTAGAGCATTTATGGGCTAAATGCAACGTCGCCCTGGCAGGCTTTTTTATGGACTACTGCTCCCTTGGTGTTTAAGTATATTGGTCTCGAGGCTCTGCATCACCTTGATCCCTGTGACCCCCTCCCCCGCCCAAAGCAGTACTCAGTCTTCCCCATGGCGCTCTGCTCTGGCTGTCAGCACCGAGCAAGGCCACCTCTCCTTACCTCTGATTTACATTTATTTCCCTCGCCAGCTTTTATTTATTGGGGCACTCCGCATTTGGCACATATCTCTTAGGGAATCATAAGCCCTTAGCTGTACCTTGGCATTCACATGGGCTTCTCTTCCACAAAGCCTCTCAGTCCCATGGAAGCAAGTTAATATTGGGAGGACAGAAGCCATAAAAAGTGGAATTGTTTATGTTTTAATGTTTCAAAAGTTTTTTTTTTTTGTTCTTTTTGTGCTATTGCCTGCAATCTTTTGTCCTAAATGCATACCTGATGAAGTGAGTAGCCTTTGTAACTCTGGCTGCCACATTCATTTTTTCATGGCTTGTTTAATGTTTCAGTCAAATATATTAGCACACAGGTTCACTCAACCTTGACCTTGAATACATCAGCAGAGTTCAAACATTGCTGCCGATCCCTGGCTCTTCTAAATCATACTACATGGCCACCAACCAACCACTCATACTGATATTTAAAAGAGCTAGCCATCATAATTGTACTGCTGCGATTACCAAGCTTTTGAATAAGAAATTAACCTGGAAAAGTAGTTTTGTAAAAAACTATGGGATTTAAGTTGCTTATAAAAGAGAGTGAACACATACATTTAAAATAATCAGTACAGAGAAAGGTTTTGTCCGTAAATTGAGACAAATTATGTTTCCTTTCTGTGATTCTTTTGTTTTGTTGCAAGTCTTGAACTCATTGAATTTTAAGTGCAAATGACATTCATGTAGACATGGTCATGGTCTGTGTGGGAATATCCCCTGGCTCCATGCTGCCACCCTCCCCCTTTCACATCACCTACCATGGGACAGCAAGGGAAGTGTGAGTGGGGACTAGTGTGGGTGGGTTTAAAAAGGAAGTCGTGAATTACCTGTCGGGTGGTGATTTGCCCCGCAGTCTTGAATCCCCCCTGACAGCTGCACTCTGAGACACTGTATGGGTCGGAGCTAGTCGATGAGCACTTGGAGAGTGAGTCACAGCCCACAACGAACGTGTTGTCCAAGGGGAGCTCCTGGATCACATGGTGTTTCTTTGGGGCCACTGGAGTCTCCGGTTTGATTTGAAATGTAGGTTGAGGGGACGCTGACTTGTAATGCTTGGCTAAATCTGGGCTGTCGGGTTTGAAGGTGGTGGGCGTGGTGGCCCAGTTGTACTTCCCCATGGTTTGCTCCTCTAGCTCCACAGGGAGATCCAGTGTACCATTAACATGCTCATGGGTAGGGTCATCGGGCTTGGATTCATCTATGGTCACAAAGTTCAGGAGGAGGCTCTTGGGGGATCGCTTCTTTCTCTTCTTTTTCTTCTTGATCTGACGGTTCTCTTGGTTGGGTGACACCCACTCACCACTCTGCTTGCCCTTTTGCACCACTTTGTGTCTGGGTGTCTGCCGGCAGCGCACCAAGGCAGTCACAAATATCACCAAGATAACAGTCATGGTCCCTGCTATGATAGCTATGACAACAATCACATATCCATTGGCTTGAGGTGTTACCTCACTGTCCCCAATGTTACGGTCCAAGGGTGTCTCCATACTTTTTCGCAGCTGCTCTTGAATGAAGGTAGCATTTGACACGGTGTCATTCACAAATAAGTGAATAAGTGCTATAGCATGTAATGACTCAGGCTGGCCTAGATCTTTAACCTTGACAACTAGCCTATGCAGCCCCTGATCGGCTGTCAGTATTTTCTCCTGTAGTGTTATGTTACCGGTTGTTTTGTCGATGGCAAAGAGACCTCGAGGAGAGACCCTAGATGTGATGATGATGCTGCTGATAATACTGTACTGCAGCTCAGCATTCATACCTGTGTCATTGTCAATGGCAAACACCCTGGTGACCACAGCGCCAGGGGTGGTGGTGGTTCGCACTAGGTCATACGAGAAATTGGAGGATGGGATGACGAACACAGGGCGATTGTCATTTACGTCGACTACATTGATAGTGACCTTGGCATAGGAGGAGCTTGGAGGGTGGCCTGCATCAACTGCCTTGACCATAAATGTGTAGGAACTTTGCTGCTCTCTATCAAAGGTGATATTGGGCTTGATCACACCAGTTTGAGGGTCGATGATGAAATTATCTTTGCCGTTCAAAATGGACAGAGTTATAACAGCATTATCTCCTGCATCTGCGTCCGTCACTGTGATTAAGCCCACAGTTCCAAAGAGAGGCAGGTTCTCAGGCACATAGAAGTTGTACTCAGGGTGTGTGAAAGCTGGACTGTTGTCATTAAGGTCCTGGACGATTAGCCTGACAGTGACATTGCTCTGTAGGAATGTGGAGCCATTGTCCCTCGCTATGACAGTGAATGAGTACCTCTCCTGCTTCTCTCTGTCCAGTCGTTTGCCAACAGAGAGGATTCCTGACCGTCTGTCTATGTTAAACCCATCAGGTGCGTCAGGGCCAAGAGTATAAATAATCTCAGCATTATGTCCGCTGTCTGCATCAGTGGCACTTATTTTTATTAACTGTGTAGAGGGGTCATTGTTCTCCGGTATGGAAAGTTGGATTTCCGGCTGGGGGAAGATGGGTGCATTGTCGTTCTCATCCTTGATTTTAATTAAAACCATAGCTGAAGTGTTCAAAGGGGGCGTCCCCCTATCAGAGGCCACTATCTTAATTGCATATTCTCGTGTCGTCTCGTAATCTAGGGGGGCAGCTGTCTCTAGTAGGAACTGATCATTAAAGACAGGCTTCAACCGGAATGGAACATCATGGTCAGTGTAGCAAGCTACCTTGCCATAGAGATCTGCATCCTTGTCAGTAACAGTAATTAGGGCTATTTTGGTGTTGAGCGGTGCATTCTCAGACAACAGAACAGTCCCATTAACCAGGTTGATAATGTAGCGAGTGTCTATGGAGGGAACATTGTCATTAACATCTGTTACATTTACAGTCACTGTGGCTCTGGAGGGGGTGGAGCTGCCATCGCTGGCTAGGACAATGAGTTTATGAACAGGAGTTACCTCCCTGTCCAGTGGCTGTTTCACAGTAATCAGTCCTGTAGAGCTGTCAATGGCAAAATGTCGTTTGGTGGAGGCAGAGATCTGGTTGCTGAAGGAAAAGTGGATCTGTGCATTAGAACCCAGATCGGCATCCGTGGCATGGAGCTGAGCAACTGATGTTCCCATGGGGGCATTCTCTGGTACTGTGACCTCCAGCTCGGTGTCCTTAAAGATGGGGCGATTGTCATTGACATCAGAGATGGTGACTTGGAGAATGGCAGTGCTGGACTTGGGAGGGTTTCCACCATCTTCTACCTTTATTTTCATGACGAAGGTGTCCTTCTGCTCCCGATCAAGGTTCTGCTGAACGATGAGCTGTGGCCACTTGTCACCTTCAGGGGTCTCAATGATGTCTAAGCCAAACTCGCTGACACTCTGCGAAGACAAAACACATTTTCACTTAGCTTGATTCTTTTTTTGTACACATAATACCAATATCTGAACTCCACACATTTTTTATTGACAAACTTATGATGATTAAATAACCTATTAGATTTTTCAGTTATTTTTCAACTCTATTTTATTTACCTCATATAGCCAGTGCTAAAGATAGAGAGTGTCATAAGTTGAGCAAATAGTAAAGCCCTCTATATAAACAGACAGATATAGCAATTCCATAAGTAAGAAGACCATATTTTCTCCCAGTTAATAACAAAGGAAGGGACAGTGATAAATTATTTGTTCCAGGTCATATTTTTGTTTCTTTTCAGTTGTTTTCGAAAGCCAAACAGCCTGTTGAGATATTTCCTTAGGCTACTCAGGTTCATTTATAGTCCTTCTTCGGATCAGGCTTTTAGGCAGTGATGAATGTCAAGAGCAAATTAAACAGCCCACGACATTCTTGAACAAGGCAGCTGGTTCTTGGCTTTGCTGTTCTCATCTCAGCTGGGGGCCCATAATAATCTAAAGCATTTTCAAAAATACTAATCATCAGCTAGTTTTTAAGTTTTAATTTCTCACATAAACAACAAAGCACATGGACCAGAACATTATCAAATGTCAGTAAATTGGTCCTTTAAAAAAAAAAAAGGGCTAATAACCATGTTCTAAATATATCTTACTTTTGCCATCTGGGTTTATTTGATTCTATAGTCTCTTTATCATACCTTCACTAAAAGAAGAACATTCTCACTACCTACCTTCCTTGCATCAAGTTAGAATAGAGCAGGGAGCTTTGTAACATTTCAACTTCATTATGGGAGAGAGACAGTTGGACATGGATACACACCAATAAGCTCCCATTTATATACACTACAAAACCAGATCATCACAGATTAAGAGTAGGAGAGTTAAAAATCCTGCCTATTAGAGGTTTTTTTTGCTCAAGAAGGGATAAATCTAGGCAAAAGTAAAGCCGGAGGAAAATGAAAACAAATGCCTAAGTAATCCCCATGAGAAACCAGAGGAGCTGGCAGTGGCTGTTATGAGTAATTACCTTCCATCCAAAAAAACTAGCACTAATATTTACAATTGCAGATAGAGTATGGCATGGATCCATACAAGTTTTCAAATTAGAAGAGAGGGGAAGTAAATGAAGGAGGAGAGAGGGAGAGAGACACAAGTGGCAGAAACAGAGAGAAAGAGAGAGAAGGGGGAGGGAATAAAAAGAAGATCAAGCCCATGAATGAGCTGCATGCACATTATGAAACAAAGAAGCCCTTTGAAGCTCTTCCAGTCAGAAGCAGTTTCATGGTAAAACAAGAAAAAGCATCCTATTTAAAGCGATAAGCTCAATGCTGCACATAATGTTGGAAGAGATTACTCTGTCTAGGCACAGCTATCAAATGAGATTAAGATATATACATTCTCCATGTTCAAGGGAGGAACATTTCAACCAAATTGTGAGCGCAAGAGTCCTCGGTAGGTTTCAAAATCCTGAGCCGCCCTTGTGCCAACATAGTGTTGTAGCCGACAGAAGCAAACATGCAGCTGCAGCATGTAAATTATTGTGTACTCTGAAAAATTGCTTGCTGAGGGAATGTTGTCAACGTGTCAGTGATTGACAGAACTACTTAAAACAGCAAACACTGCAGCAATGATCTTTCAGGCCTTATTTTGTGATCCTACTGGCAAGCATAAGTCATATAGGGATAAGCAGACATGGTATATAAAACTATGAGTGAAAATGTAAAGAAAAGGCCTCATGGATGAACAGTGCTGGATCTTTATATACCATGCCGAACTATCTCTGTCGTCACTGAAAGGCAACATTCTGGGGGATCTATTACGAGGCACTACTCCATCTGCACAGAGCCGCTCAATCCTTAGTTGTTTGAATAGCTCACAGATTCAGCACAGTAGCTGAGTAGCTGAACACTGATATTTGGCAAAGCCTGATGTTAATAGTAGGATGTTGAGTTAGAATGTGTCAAAGGGAATGCTGCACAATGATTTATGAGCCTGCATTTCGTCTTTGCTTTTTTCTTGGTTTCACACAATTTTACAACTGACAAGACAGCGCTCAGTGCATTTCAATAAGTTGAAGAGAGCTATCTCTCAGGCTGTGTATCCTCCTGAATGCAGAATTAGTCTGGTGGATTGTGATAAAATCTAGGGCAAGCTAAGAAAAGGCCAAATACTAGCATGAATCACTCACTGGAGACCCTAAGGCTTAGCAAGATGTACAAAGTTCTCTAAACGGCTAAGTGTGCATTTTACCATGCCTCACTCATTAAGCACATGTGTACTGTACAGGTATGTCTTTTTGAACTTCAATGACTCAACATTCATTTCAAATCACTGGGCCAAAGGTCTCCTCAGTGATCAGGGTGGGAACGGGGCACTGTACGTGGGATGTGTGTGGTACACAATCTAATCAGAGTTGGATATGAAAATGACTGAGGTACACTGACAGAAGCAGGGGTGGCTGTTGATGAGAGAGAGACGACTCTCAACCTCATTCTGCAGACAGTGCCTCAGATTATCAGTGGATGCATCTTTCAGTCAAGTTGACGACCTTATTAAAACTCAGAGGAGACTGAGATTGGGCTGTGAATATATCAAGAAGACTGTAGTCACGGTGATGCCCATGGATGGGGCTAACTGGGGACAGCTATTCATCACAAGCTATAGCGGCTCTTTATAATGCTGATAGAGACTCACCCTCTCTCTGTCTTATTTCTTCCCATTTTTTTCCTTCCAACCCTCATTCACTTTTGCCCCTGGCCATGATCTCATGCATAGAATTAAGACAAAAGAAGCAAGGAATTGTTTGTCTTTTTTGTCAAACCCTAGAAGAGGATAATGTGTCAAAATAAGATGCTAATGAAAGCTGGAAATGCTTGACAGTGAGCTCACTGCCTAAAAATCCTATTCACAACCTAAAGGCAGCATGCAATGCATTAATCAAATTTATGTGCTACTTGGCAATGGAGCTTGAATACATTTTGCAGATGCAAAGTTAGAATCGTTTATGAATAAACTTCAAGCTCAGTCTTGGAGTACCAGCGAAGACCACTTCACCTACTCGAGAATTTTAGGTATATTTTGAGGTAGACACGTAGCAACCGAGTTTGTTGCAAAATACTAAAACCACTGCCCAACCAAAGTGCAGACATCCACATCAGTATCCATTTTATCAAGGAGACATAGCCAGGCCCGCAGCAGACAAGTTCTCCACAAACTTGAGCAAGATGCCCACTATACATCTGTCTGAAGAGAGTGACATAATTTGGATTACTGTAGTTTGTGATGTTGCAAACTCATACGTCACTGAAATAAAAAAGTTGGCCAGCCAAAATCCTAAGTAAAACCAATGGCACACTCTCCTTTAGTCCTATATACATGTTTCTGTGTTGGCCTCTGAGATATCCTGTGAATATGTAAAGTGATCAGATCTGCTTTCAAGGGAGATCCTCCTCCACCCATGCATGTGATTGCTTTCTCTGACCTTGACCAATTCTTAGGCGCCTTTCTGCAGTTCAGATGACGTAACACATCACTGCACAGCACTGATGGCAAAGTTTCAAGTGTAATTACCAGCCATTACGTATGGACCACTGTGTAGGATGAAATTACCTGTTGTCCATCTTCATGTTAGAAAAGAACAAAGTTGTACAAAACAAGGCTACCGTGTTTCTTTTTACTTGTTCTGTATGTTGACAACTCAGGCATGCTACATATGGATTGGCAAACCATTGACAATCGCTCACTTTGCTATGCTGTGGTAGCAATTTCAGCAAAGTGCCCTATGTAACATAAGAAAACTTGGAAAACTATCATTGTCAGGGAGCTTCTAAGGGAAATCTCACAGGACCATACAAAGATAGTCTAAAGGTGGCTTAAGGGCCAGGAGTTATTCTAGGAAATGCTTGCACATTCCCTCCCCTCTAAACCCTCGGCTTTCTACTGCACTTTTGAAATAAAAGACACCAAAGGTTGAAAATGTTCCTGGCTCCATTAATGTTCCTCCCTGTGTTTTACTCATATGGAACCTGGAACACAAGGAAATTAATCTTGAGTACAATGAGAATATAATGAGAAGAAGTGAATCAGAGACACAGTGCCAAGGACGCTCTTAGAGGAATTTCCTGCAAAAGATAATACAACCACCGCCTCTGCAAGGGGTTTAGAAAGCTGTATATTGTGAAAAGGGCAAGAAAAATGATTGCAGATGATCATCATAATGAGCAGAGCATTTGGTTGGTGATTTTCCCAGTGTGAACAATTCAGGACATTGCGCTGGAGAGGCCTTGGTAGTGGAGCGACTCTTTAAAAATGCAAATCAGTATTCAAGGCAGACAGCAACGATTCTGCTCATTCCAACCCCATGTTAACTTCATCTGAGACTACAAGATGGATTTGTCATCTCTGTCTCACACCGTGCGCTCAGTTCCAGTAACCTTCCTTTATTTATTATGTTTAGGATTTCCCCCAGAGTACTTGCATCTCCCTCTTTAATTGCACTTCATTTGTAAGGGCTCGTGTCACCTCTAATACTCGTCTATCCACAAAGTATAGAGTGTTGTCTAGACTATAAATGAAGAACGCATGATATTATCCTACATTTCTGGGTTTAGGGCTGACTCCATTAGGCAACCGAGAATATTGCAGTGCAGTTTAATAGTGCATCAATTAGATGATGAAGAAAAGCTTTTGCTAGTGCTGCATGAGACACCTATTAGCATAATATAGTGCATTTCTTCTCTTTTGCTTTAATCTACGATGTTCAACACATTCAACCTGTTGCTGGAAATTGGACATGGAGTGTGTGCTGTGTCTGCACTTTCCACTGCATGTTTTCTGATATTATTGTACTTGGTGAAAAGCTCCATTTCTTTACAGCCTTCTTTTATAATGACACAAAGCATATGGAAAATATCAGTAGCTGGTATAAAATAATGTAGGCTTTTCATCTTATTCCACTTTATAAAAAAGTAGGTCATATTTTCAGTCCAGATTCAAAATTAACAGCACTAAGAGCAGGTTTATAGAGGAAACTATAATGCAGAAAGTGAATAATTTTTATTTAAAACCATATGGGAGGAAAAGAAATGGCTCAAAAACAGCCAACTAAACAGACCTGTTGTAAACAGATGGCAATCTGCAGACGAAAATACTGATTGCATTGGAGACAGGCATCTGTTTATTTAAAAAAATAATCTACTATTGGTCCCATTTTATATCTTTCTTATTGTTTCTCCAAGACATAGATAGCTACAGTGGTATTTGTTTTAAATTTATGGCAGCAAATGTTTTATGCTTGGATTTTCGAAAAAAGACAATCTATTCCACACTGAAAAAAAAACCTCTTTAATCTATTAAGTCCAAAAAAAAAGCAAACCAGTAAGAAGAGGCTTGTTCCAGTCTTACAAAGCCTCAGGCTTTATCTTTCACTGTCAAAATCTTTCAGTCGTTCCCTATCAAACTAAATTAATTTGCACAAGATGGCTTTTAATTTAGACATGAGATTGCGGACATACAGTAATAGCCTCTTATCAACTTCAGTTATGTGGAGTGAGTCTTTAATAGTCTTTATATATAAATTCAGCTTCAGATACTTTTGAGATGTTTTTTTTAAATTTAGTAAGTAGTGGCAGCTGTCAAATATGTAAATATTTAATAAAAAAACAGGTATATACAGGAGTTATTATTGGTATGCACTCAGATGCTGTAGCAGGTGCGATGTTGGATAAACCACATTTTGGTTTATGTGAGAACTAAGGGGAGATTTGTAAATGGGCTGATGAAACAGTTTCGTCAGTTTTATGTCTTTTATTATGTGTTTTTTTAAACCTCTTTAAACAAACCTCAGCTTCACTGATCAGAAAGGTAATAGCCAAATCTACTCTGAACCACACACCTTTACAATAGTGTTTATGTTCTTCCAATCAGTTGCAGTTTACATTAAGGCACACACTAAAAACAGTAGGTTTTCAAACCAATGTAAACGTATATATATAAAATAGCCCCCTGAATAAGATAACTGGCATTACTCTCAACAAAAATAACAGTACCTTTGCATTTCATTTTATATGCGATAATGAAGAAGAAGTGATCCTCACCTTGACCAGTTCATAGTGTTGGATCCCATTGATTCCTACATCAGGGTCAAATGCAGAGGGCACTGGGTAACGGGTGTTGATAGCTGTGTTCTCCGGAATTGAGATGTTTATCACAGTGGACTGGAAGAGGGGTGCGTTGTCATTCACATCCTCGATCAGGAAGCGGATCTTGACCAATCGGAAGATCTCGTCAGGCAGCACGGCCACCTCAATCTCATAGTAGCAGCGTTTCTCTGCGAAGACCCCTGAGCAAAGCTTCTCCCTGTCTATTCTGTGATTGGTGGTAAAGATCTCCCCTGTGTTGGCCTCCACCCTCACCAAAGGCACGTCACCTGTCTTATAAACAGGCTTGAACTGCAGCGGCGAGGATAGCCTGATGTTGGGGTCTAAGTTGAGGTCCAGGTCCTTGCGCAGGTTGCCGATGCGTACGTTCTCTGGCTGCTCCTCCTTCACCGTATAGTCCCTCTCCTGGGCCCAGCATAGCAAGACCCCACAGGTGAGCAAGACCACCAGCAGATGAGCCTGACTTGCTAAGTCCATACTCGAGAGTGGATGGGAGCTTCACTTTTAAAGCAGCAAATCTGTCACAAGAGACAGAAAGAGAGAGAACACACAATGTCAGTGCAAAAAATTACACGGCATTCAAGTTCTGCTGTAATTATTACTACTTTTCCTCACAGAGAGTTTTCAACTTGACCTATTCATTCAAACTAGCTATGAGCCCACATCCTCCCAATGTCTTTGAGAGCAAATTAAGGTTAGTTTTACACAATTAACCTTTGATGACATCCACTGAGCAAGCGGGCACGTAGAGGTTGGCAGTTCACATATTCCATCAATCCATTTCATCACTGTAATGAACCATTTCATATTTTTTTATTGAGAAGTATGAACGCAGTTGAGTTTACTGTTGCGATAAAATAGTTGGCTTTGAAAGCTTGTTCACAAAGTATTACGCATAGAGAAAAAAATGGGACACAGAGAAAAAATAATTTCTGAGTCTTTGTGAGTCAATGTAGTGTGATGGTGTCCTCACATCCAGACTTCAGCTGATCTGGAGGCGGCATAACTGAGCCCTGAGCGCTGGTGCCTCCATGCATGAGCACACACATGCAGTCGTACTGCTTGACAGCGACTATTAATGGACAGCATCATTTGCGCTGAATGTAAACAATTGAGCTGGCAAATATTTCATGAATGCCCATGTGTGTAAACATAAACAGTGTTATAAGAGAACTGTTTAAAGTGACTCTGGTGGAAGGAGAGAATGATGTGAAATTGTTTATTGTGCAAGCTGCCATCAATCAAATTAGTGAAATTTAATCATCAACTTCATTACATCCTGACAAATGAGCCTCTTTCCAACAACAAATTTAAACAGCACCCAGTTATGCCTATGATAAACTCTTAACTAAAAATTCAGTGCAAATGAATTTAACATCATCGAACATTATTCTTTAATTGGTGTCAATTAATTTGATGCTGTTGTTCTACAAAATATTTAACCATTCTCTATGTGCCAAAGCTTGCCAAATGGCAGGAGCCCCAATTGCCAAAACCCAAATAGGTCATTGGAAGACGGTGAAGGAGTCACACTCTGCAATGTCTTCATTGCCAGTATATGCTAACAAGAAATATTGACTGCTTTCCACCAGTTGATTAGTAGGTCACTTAGTCATTCAAGAGGACTTGCTTCATGTGGTTAGTTCACTTTTTGGCTTAGTTCATTCAATTCATTCTTGGAAATCTTAAATAAATGGAAGTTCCATTATTTCTACCACACTCCCAATGGTCTCTGTCAAGGGTTGGCCACACAGGCTTTAATGGGCTTTTGACCGAACGGTGGTAAAGCAGTGTAATTAGTATATCAGAATAAGTATGTCTTTGTTCAGAGGAGTTTTGCTGTAAAATAAATGAATTTCATTGCTAGTCTTTAAATTGATTTTGGTGTGCAATGACATATCCGGATAAAGCGACCAATGCTATGTTTACTCTTTGTAATAATACTGGCTCCTAGGGTGTATTCTGGTGCAATATATTTAACGACTAATATAATTTCATTGCTCATATCCCACTGTGTGTTTACATCCACCAACCCCCTGAGTGTTTATTAACCTCATATGATTTTCCTCGAGATATTGGTTCGTATTCATAAGGCAGCTGGCTTGATATCAAACGTCCATTTCCTTTAAAAGGATGGCAAAAGTGTGTGACAGCGATCACACAAATAATGTGCAGCTAGTGCTGAAAACGCAGGAACAAGGGACCACAAATGCCTCTTTGGGAACCGTAATATTTTACTTTCCATCCATTTACATGCGTCGAATAATATCCTGCAGAAAAAGGTATGACCACCTAAACTGCACTACAGGGGTCCTCTAAATTGGCAAGGCAACAGCGTTCATAGCCATTGAAGCACTCGGCCTACCGACAAAGGGGAATTGATTAAAAATAAGAATTTAATTAAGCTGGTTTTGAATCAGCAACAATTGCAAGGCATTCATGCAGCCTGTAAAGACAGATTCTGTCTCACACATTTCATAAGGCAGTCACACGAGACTCATTAAAGACAGCTGGACAGAAAAGAAAAAGAAACAGCTGACATTGATCCGTGTGAGGGTTAGTCACTCTGCACACATAGCACATGCTTTATTTTACTGTCATGTCAAAATATTGATGAGATATATACCATTAATAACTGTGACACACTTTACTTTGAAGAGTGCATCTTTCTGAGAGTGAGCAGCAATTGCCTTTCTGTGATGATCGCCACGCTCTCCAAGGCTGAGCTCACACAACGCATAATGAAGTTTAAATTACATCCCTAAATGGGATGTGATTCGCCAAAGTAAAAAAACAGAAAAGATCAAAGCATGATCTAGATTTTCTCTCCCTTGTAAGTGACAATAATGTTCCGCAGGATGAAGGGGTGTTGTATGTCTTTTGACTGTAAGTATGTGCAGGAGTAGGATACAAATGTAGTAACAAAAAGGACACCTTTGTAGTGCACATTTTACCACTATAGGTACATACATGCAATACATTTATATACACTAAATGTATATGTAGTAGATAGATATGAATAGTTCTTTCTCTTCCTATGGAATTAGAAGGCAAAACGTGATGTTAAATATGTTGACCTTCAACATAATACGGACAAACATGTTAAATCCTCTTTTTCTATTAAATGAACGTGTCCTTTTTCCTCTTAACAAAGATTTTCCAATATTTGCACAGCTTTTCACATGTCAAAATTCTGTATAAACCTGTCCACGAGGAATAGACTAGGTGAGAGAAGGAATTATGCTGGAGGGGGGGAAAAAGTAAGAGGGAGGGAGACAGAAATCCTAGGTGTCAGTCAGAGTGTCTCCTTTGCTTACATTTCACTAGTCTCCTGAAATGCTATTTTGAGACCCAGACAGCAGGTTGAATCCAGTAGGCAAGCTCAAGCCTCCCTCTTGAGATACACGGAGCGAAGAGGAGCGGGCCCGGCCCTGGATCACTTTACACGCCAATGTGATGGACAGGCCTTCCTGGTGTTTGCATGCTGGAGGGGAGCAGCAAGAGAGGGGGACATACAGCAAACGTCACCCCCCCCCCACCCTTACCCATTAAGATACCCTCAACTGGGACACAGCCTCGGACCCGAGTTAATCGGAGTGCATTAACAGTCAAAGCCAGGTTTTCAGTTACTGTCGTATCTTTCAAGACCGCCTGTGTATCCAAAGAGATTTTTAAAAAGAGGGCATCGGCAAATACAATACTTTTGATTGTCTTGGGCTTTCCCTCTTTTAACAGCTTTAAGGATCGCTGACAGTCTGACAGACCAGGTTTCTGTCAAGATCACTCAGTTCTTTTTCAGTCCACACAGTCAGAACAATTTTCCTTACAAGGTGGAGGAATAAAAGTTGTTTTCTCTTGGGAAACTTCAGCCATGACTATATAAGTCATGCTGGAAAGCAAGAAAGTGCAAGAAAATGATGCTTGACATGAATAAAGGGTCCAATGACAATGTTAATAATTTATTTAATACTGAAAAAATATATATTCAAGTTGAAATCTCACCAGGATTTTATCACTGCATTATCTACCAGTGTTCTCATTTCACTTTTGTTTTTTACTTCTCTGATTCGGATTATGAACATGTAATTGTACTAGCAGTACAGTACAGTAGAAAAATACCAAACTAATTTACGCTGAAACCAAAGACCTCAAGAGGGCAGTCCATACATGCAAATGCAATTTTAATACTAAATATACGTATCATATTTCTTTGCGTAGCTTGTGTGATCTGGAATTTCAAGTTTGACTTTAAAATCCATATTTTTTTATGAAAATGGGACAAAATCAGACAAGGGAAAACATTTTCAGAGAAACTGTGCAATTAATTAAAACAAAGTCAGACAAATTAAAAATGTCTGAAGGCAAAAATATTGAAAGTAATTGCTAAAGTAGATTTTTATATTAAAATAGTACTGGAAAAACGGATTGCAGTACATTTATACATGTATCAAATTAGCCACATAGTTAGTTCAAGTTGCTGCAGACACCATCATGGGTTTTGAATTATGGAAAATTCAATGTGGGTTGTCATATCCAATATAATATCCTTTATTGGAGGTGAAAAGGACAACTATACTATGATGAATATCAGAAAGCTAGTCAGGAGAGGATGTAAAACTAAATCGATGAACAAACCTCTTACTATTTTGATATAAAATAAATGTGACTTGGGAAGCAGAAATTTATAGAAGCTTGGACACGTTCCAGTGGAACAAACAAACTCACACAGTGGGACGAAAACTAAAAGCAGAGCTAAGAGATTTTGACACCTGGGAGGCATCTCTGAGGCTACAGGTTAGTTACACCATGAACTCTTTAGTCAAGTTCTGACTCCAAACTCATCACTCATACTTAGTTGAATTTATCAGAGGCATTAGGATAATTGGAAACACTGTTATAACACAAAGGCTACAGAATGGAAGGATATTGCAGACTATGATCAATTGCTCCACACCTCCAAGTGAAATGGAAATGTGCAAGAGCAGATGGTTTTATTGCTCTTTTCAAATCAGACAAATACTCAGGCTGCACCCATTTACTCGCTGATTCATCTTTTAGTACAAATACCTCATTGTGCAGCCAAAAAATATGCTGCTCACCTTGGGAAGGTTCACATCACCGTTTGATTTAATATTGAGCTGATTAGCAAGGCCTTGTGGGAGTGTTTTAAAAAAACTGGCACAATATTAATCTATTAGATTTTCAGCAGGTATAGAATATTAGGAGCCCAAACAACCAGCTGGCGGTTACTCCTCGGGACAACTGGGTTTTTTCGTCGTGACTATTGAACTGATATTCCCTGTGGCAAGCACATGGATGTGTCTTGTCTGAGTGTGAAGATGCTCGTGGCCCCAGAGGTTGTGGTCTGTGACAGTGGACCGCTTGACCATGCCGGAGCGCGCTGCTGCCGCGCACCCGAGCACCGCGCTTATTGCGGCCGCAGGCTGCTGAGAGAGCCACACTTTAAAGTCCCTGCAGTCGGCGGGGTGCTCCTGGAAAGTGGGCCTATCTATCCAACGATCAGTGTCGAGCAAGACTGATTAATGCCCGAAGTCGTGACCAACCGCGCGGTACATAAGATATTCGTAATGCGACTACTCGGGTTTAGATTCTCCACAAACGCACCGTGTCCGTGGATAATTTGTATTTACATCAGGTGCGCGGGGCCGCCTGTTATATCTTTGGAACAGCTCTAGGAGAAAAAAAACATGGAACATGAAAATGATCCACTATGGCAAGATGCATGCCAAGTACCCTATAGAGCGTCACTAACATTTCCACCCAGCATACATGTTACAGGATGTTGCGCTCAGTGGTTGGAAATACAGCGCCGGCACTGGGACATCAATTTGATTTTATACGAACCATATAAATTAGGTTGTTATGCGCACTCCAATGTTTTCTGAATGCGCTCCGGAGACACGTCACTCGTGCTCACATGTGCCAAGAGACCACTTGAGTAAAAACACATTTTGATGTGAACAGTAAAGTCGTGATTAAGAGCAGAGCTTACCTTTTCCTCTCGTATGGGATGAAAAATCAACCGCGAGCACCGTCGCGTAGAGACATCACTGATTTACTAAAAAGATGTGCCATGAATTAAACTGAAGTCAGGCAGAGAGAGGATCCTCGTCAGACGCAGCAAAATGCGGAGCAGGCAGGGGAGGAAAAATAAAATGTTATCCACTACAAAAACTTATCCATGCGCTATCGGCATCTTCATGTGCAAGAGAGAAAAAACAAATCGTGCACAGCGAACAACTTTGAAAAGGAGACGCTGTTATTCCTCTTCGGGTGTCTTGGGGTCGCAATCCCACCGGCGAAGATACGCATGGATCCAAGCGTGTGGGTTGTTTTTTTGTTTTTTTATAAACTTTGCATCTGTAGCTTACGTTTGAAATTTCTGCTTTATTTTTCCAGCTGAAAATCGCTGGCACCGGAGTTACACGTGTGCGTCAAACGCGTCCGGACCCGCGCGTAAAACTTCAATCCAAAAGCGCAAAAATGGACATCTGTGGAAAAACCGAAAGCTTGAAACTAAATTATTCTAAAATCACTTGTTTGGGCTGATTCGAGGTTGTGCACGCTCCCCAAAAAGGAAAAAAAACTCTTAATGGAGGGATGCAGAGAGCGCATCGCCCCCCCAGTGGAGTTGGATCAAAGTGTGCCTCAGTGCAGCATCACTTACAGGAGCCGGGATAGGCGGTTCACCGTATCTGTCTGCTAAGCTGTAGATGTCTCAGTAGTATTGTATGAACTCAGTTCCTGAACACAGCCCACCTCTCTCCCTCTCGCTCTCCCTCGCACTGACATCATGGCGGAAGGAGGAGCCAAGCGCAGATTTAGGAGCCCCGGTCCTCTTAAAGCCGCACTGCGTTGGAGAGATGCTTGCTCTGAGATGTAGGTGGATGGCGGGGTGTGCGCGGACCACAGATGCCTCTGCTGTTTACAGTAGCCACACTGCTCCACAAATGCGCCTGAAAGCAAGAGGGGGGCACTGTTCACTTTTGATGCGGAGCCTCGCTGTCTGCTTTTTCATTTCCAATGGAGCTGTCCTGTATCCTCGCAACTCTTAATAATAATGAGGTTCAAATTCTTTTTTCAGACATTCCCGAGCGTGTCAACAGGCCACGGCAGAGCTCATCTCTGGGAGGAGAGGATAAATTAGCCTGATAATGGGTTTGTTCACAGTTTCCATAGTACCAGTGTATGAAATGGTGTCAAATATTTCCTGTTATGTATGAGCCAATCACATTTGAGCTTATTACCATGAACACTTTGAACACTTGAAATGCAAGGATTGGTAAAATGTTAACAAGAGATTACCTGGGAAATTGGTGGAAAATGTCATTGTATTAAAAGTGACAGGGTAACTCAAATGCCTCATTAAAATGAGACTGGAGTGTGAATGAGACATTCTGTATCAGCAAAGTGCTGAATCTTGTTTAACAGTGTGTATCTCGGCCATAAAACCTATTGAGGTGAAACTATAGATCTGGTCGTAGGGCACAATGTCAAGCAGGAATCTGAGCAATATATTGATTGGCTCAAAAAAAAAAATCACTGACCACAAATCTTCACCTTGTCACTTTCCCGCTTTGGCTCTGCCCCCAAATACCCTAAAGTAGATTTTAACAGGTGCTTTTACGGGGTCATAAAAGGTTATGGTCACACAAAGGCCAAATCATGACCCTGGTTATGTTACAGCTAATTACCCTTGTGCCTCATACAATAAATAGCTGCAACTTTGCATCCTAATAAGTTTAGCCCCTGGCAAGGTTTCATAAACCTCATTCCTCACCTGTTCACCTGCATTTCCCTCAACATTATTTCACATCACACTAATCATTGGTAATTATTTGTTGTTTGAACGTCAAATTTTACTTAAGTCTTGAGAAAAGGTGGGGGACAGGCAGTCTTCAGGCCATACACAGCCCACAAGACAATTTGTAAATATTATAAGCTCAGAAATTCAAAAATATTCTCATGACAGACATTTTTCCTGCTTTAAAATGAAATAGTAGACTTACATGTCAGGTCAGTCCCTTCCATCTCTGAGTGTCAGGTCACAGGCAGGGTGAAGGAAACACACGTAGCTGTTACTTGTCATCGCTGACAAGCATCATGGTGGCTGTCAGGAAAAGAAAAGTAGATGCAGATTGTTGCACTTTTCAAGAGATTGTGCCTAGTTTGCGCTCTGAGTGATAAAAAAAGGCCAATCTCAGGCGTCATTACAGCCGGAAAGATGCAGCCGCACTTGATGAGTTGCGAGGACAGGGCACTTGGATAAATCTATCAATCTTTGGCTGAGTTTGGGAGCCCAACCAGCAGCTTTCTCAAGACTTTGTTCTGACAGAGTTGGACTAAGCTGATATTATGCAGTCATATTTTATGGTGAGGACGCTAATAGCTACGAAGCTGATACCTTATTTGGATAGATAATTTGTGGAGGAGCCTTGCTGCTGGAATCGGACAAAGTAAAATAGTTCCAAAGTGTTTGTTTGTCTCTGAGAATCCTCACGGCAGATTACATATATCCCATAAAACATATGATATAGAACATCAGAGGAAAACACAAGAAATTTCTGGCCTGCATTGAATCAATAACATATGCAACCGAACACACCGTTTTTGTTTGTGGGATTAGGGCTGAGATGGTTATGAGGGAGGAATCGCTGTCTTGGAAAGATTAACATGGCACTAGCAATGAGGATTTGTTTTAGCATGCTACAACCAGCTGTGAGTGGAATCATCATCTTTATCATCACTGTCATCTGACATCAGACACCTGAAGCCTTTCCAGCCATTATATTAGACGTTAGTGAAATAAGAGTAATTTAATATGGCCCAGAAAGGACAATATAAACGTTTAAATGTCCCTTGCTAGGTAAAAGGTTTCCCATCTCTGGTCTAAAGGCAACTGCTGGGTAATTGTAGCAGCATGTTTAAGTCCATAAGAAAAATTACGTCTTTCCATTACATTTCATTTCCCGCTGAGAAAACAGCACACCACATTATTTTGCTTTCTTATTTTTTCTTTTAGTCTCTGAGGATACCTGAAAGGGATAGTTCACCAAAAAAAGAAAATTCACTCAACATATACTTACGACTGTACTGATGGAAGGGTAGGTGAAGTGTTTGAGTCCACAAAACACTTTTGGCGTTTTATGGGCAAAAAGGGTTGCAGACAAATCCAATACAATTTAAGTAAATTGTGAACAGATAATGTTTTGCCCTTGCTTAGTTCTAAAGTTGCAGCATCTTAACCAGAGCAGAAGATACGCTTAAAGGTCCACACATAGAGTTTTTATTATAGATTTTTATTGTAGTGATTTTTTTGGCACATTTCTCCCGAATTACTCTTCTGAAAATCAACACAGTGCAGTGTTGGCTTTGAAAAACCAAACAATTTCATTGGGGAAAGGAAGGACAGCGTAATAACATCCTGCATCTCATGCAAAATCAAAATCTGGAAAAATACAATTATCTTTCTTTTTCATGGGACCCTTAAACTGTATAGACAACTTTTTGAATTTAAGTTTTGACTGGGTCTGAATCTGAACAGTCAAATACAACAAGTGTTTCCAACAATGTTAAATGAAAACTGTGCCCTGCTAAGGAAATTAGTCACAGAAAAGCGTAGAAAAGCGAAGCTTGCTTAAGATTTTTTTCTTTTTTCTAAAGATATGATCAAATAGTCCTTTTCCTCAACATTGCCTTTAATCATCCATGCTGTTGCCCCCCTACTGAATCCACGACTTGTTATTCACACATGTAAAAGAAATAATTGGTAGAAAGAGCACACTCACTAATATACCTTATCAGTCAGGCACAGCCGGACAAGGGGATGGGAAGGAAGAGGTTGCAGAGCTACATTGCAAGGTCACTATGTATTAACACTCAGAGGTTTTGCAGAAGAATAGATTCTTTGTGGACCATATTCAATCCAATGCCATTCTGTATTATCCATTCAGCTTAAACAGCATAACTTGTCCAAAGAGACCACAACAGTAGCTGCTGTACCATTGTCTTTGTTCGCCAATTAGTTAAATGCCAGTATGGATATTTAATTCATTTAGTATTTTAGCATTTGAGGCTAAATTGTCGTAATTGGATCGTCAAGTTTTCTACTGTTGTCCATAAGGAGAGCAGTGTA